ATCTTAGTTTCACATTTTTAATTCAAATGATTAATTATTTCATACCACCAAAAACATGTACACAATAAGTTTACCATCATACATTCTATCCTAATTATCCACCTAGTATTAAAATAAATCTTAACTCAAAATATTTCAATTACTAACTTATAACTTATACCTAGGCTTATTAAAATCATCATGTCTTACATAAAAGCCATTTTCTAATAATATTAAAAATGTTTAAACTAAGGAATATTAGTATATTATAACCTCCATTTTAAAGAAATAAGAAAGAGAGTGAAGAAAAAGGCACGCTTCTCAGGTAGCAGTGTTCTACCTGCTTGTTTTTTATTTTCAAGTAACAATGATATATAGTCTTTGGAAAATGATACTTGAACAACCATTTTTGACAACATTTAGACACGCGCACACGTGTCAAAATCTGAGTGGTCCATTTTCATTTAATTTTTCCAACTGGACCATTCAGATTTTGACACGTGTGTGCGTGTCTAAATATTGTCAAAAATAGTTGTTCAAGTGTCATTTTCCATAGTCTTTTTGTGTAAAATGTTAGAAGAGCTTTTCAGAGCTTCACTACTGGAAAAAGCTTCGCTCCTAGTAATAGAATAGTTTGAGAAAAATTTAATTTCAAATGTTCAGTATTTTAATAATTTAACATGTTTAAAATGCCCATACAAATTCAAAAATTTCAGAAAAAATATATATTTAAACCGCTTGTTCTATTTTAGAAATTTTTGAATTCATAAAAATGTTACCCTATTAAATTTTCGTTTTTAAAGTAAAAATAAATAAATAAATTTACTTTTTTCCCTAAAACTTAAAAAAGAAAAAATTAGGAAAGATTTGCTGTACCTCCTGAGGTTAGAAAGAACGTTCGAAACAAACGAGAAAACACCCTGGAATATCACAAGGCGGTTGGGGAAAGATGATGCTGTTGGGAAGGGTTAGAGAGGTGAAGCAGAGTGTGGTACATCTTCGTCATCTATGCCACAACCCACAGAGATATATTCAAGATCTCGAACTGCTCAAGTGCTTCAAATCCGAGATTCAGTTCGAGCTTTCTTCCAATCATTTTCAGGTTCTCTCGCTCTTTCTTTTCCTTCCATGTCATGTTCTTTCATCACTTCTTCCATTTCACTTCAAAACACTCTACATCTTGAATCGCCACACCCATGACAGTTAAAAAACAAAAGGGGGTCTTTTGAGTTACTCGTGCATTTCCATGGGTGCAGAATGCTCAAACTGGTTCCTTAGGGGACTTTGTGATGGAACCTGACTCACTCAGTTCCAAAGATGTCGTTTTGCGAAGAAAATTCGATTCTGGTGAGGAAGTTGCAGTTTCTGCTATTCTGGGGCCTCCTAACTACGAGGAAGACACCGTTTTTCCAAGAGATGCTTTTATGAAAGTGTGTGTGAAAAAACCAACATTAAGCTCCATTTTGCAGTTTGACTGTGGAGTTCATGAAGAAACTGATAAGGGCTCTGATTTTGACATATATAATGCTTATTATCTCAGATCACCTACATTTCTCAAGCCTTCCAATTACAGAGGTCCCTTATTCAGGTAAGCTGATACTGGCCATTGTTCCTTACAATTATTATCTATGTTAAAACAATTTTGGTTTTCCTGTTTGAGGGGAAGTTGATTTGTATTGGCTTTACAATTTTGTGGTGGATATATTTAGTGCTGGAGATTTGCTTCAATGAACAAAGAGTACAATTTGTGATATAGATTAGAGTAAATGACAAATTCAACCCCTAAAATTGTCATTTTAGTCCTTCTATAGTTAACAAAATGCCCAAAACCCCCGGGAAGTATGAATCTTTTCATCTGAGTCCCTAGATTTAACCAGTTCTGTCTTTTTTTATTCTTTAACAATTTTAGTATAATCAATTAAGTCACATATCTAGCACTAATTGTATCTGAATAATTACAGCTTTGGGGAACTTTTTGAGAATTTATTTTGTTCAAGAGACTAATGTAAGACTATGTTCAACAACTTCAGAAACTAAAGTGTCTATTTACTTCATAGATTG